TTAATTTGTGAAGTAACGAGGAAAAGGTTCAATATTTGTAGTGGACTAGAAAGAAGGAGCATCATAAAATGTAAATGCCCAAATAAAGTATCTTAACTGTTTATTCATACATGGAAGCAAAATGCTACAAGTGATGAGCTATAATATGATTCAGTAATTCCACTTTAAGTTAAGTCTTAATGTCAATATCAGTGCCAGTTTTTAGGTGATCTCTACTATAACGTTACGTTAGATCAAAAGACGACCCCAGCTTTCTTATCAGGTTTACAAATTAGGCCTATTTGCCAGTAGACATTGCCAAATACGGTCTGTCTGTATGTTTCACACAGTCTGGAGTATCCACGGGGCGACATGACCGTCATCGAGGGTAAACGCATTTTGATTCGATAGGCAGACTAGGCACGAAAACAGCTAAAGATTTATCCAAGAGGAACCATCGAAAGGTTCAGCGGAACGTACACAAATAGACAGGAGAAGTGTGTGTCATGACTCACAAGCATATTACCCTGCCTAGTCTAGCAAGTGAGCATTTGACTCAGGAAAACAAAAGCTAGCGGCAGTTATAGGCCCGCTGGAACACTTCACTTGTAGCGCGGGAGCTCAGCTAGCATGCAGGTGAAAAGTATTTGAGCTCTGCACAACTACAACAATCAACGGGTATTTACCTGTAATGCAGGCATTGACTGCTGTGGGTTTTTGAGCTGTTACCACGTAGTTGTACGACATTTCTGGACAACACTAAAAGACAAACACCAGAGTAGTGTTTTTATGTCACACAACTGACAAAACCATTGATAATAAGACCCCCGGAAGTAGTTAGCTGAGCCATTTAGACACAGAGCCATAAGGGGACATGAAGAGCAGTGAACCGAAAACGGTGCGCCCCCTATATGTCGGAGGCCGGAAATTATGTCAATGCAATGTTTTTTGTTTTAATACATGTTTTTATTAAACAACAATGCAGATCAATACAAAATTCTACAGCACAGATTGTTGAAATAGATGTATAACAGTGCATTTAGAGCATAACAGGACAAAAGTAGGCATTTAATAAGAAGGTGAAAAAGAATAATAGCACCAAACAAGCGAGAACAAAGAAAAGAAAATACAAAGAGGTAAAGGTATTCTGATATAAAATTAAGTGAATGCAATGTTCTGTAATGACTACATTACAACCAGCAGTGGAATGTAATCAAATACACTTACTCAAGTCTACTACTGTACAGTTTTAAGGTACTTCACTTTCAGTCTTTCCTTTTTATGCAGCTTTACCCGTATAGCCACCTATCACTACATTTGCATTTACACTATCAATTTGTAGCTACTTTTTATTTGATTACAGCTAGATCATTTCAGTTTATTACTTTACTGCTTTTCATTTTTATTATTTTAAATTTATTTTTGATACTTTTAAACTTTGAACTGGGTTGCTGGTACTCACCTTATTGGGGTGGGGTAATATATTCAGCCTATTGTATTTACAGCTTGTGCTGCCCCTAGTTATCCAAATAACAAATATAGCCTTAAATAAAATGTACTCAACATAAAAATAGCCTACTAATGATTATAATCATAATCTTTATTTATTCATTATTGACATTATTACAGGTAAAGTCAAAAGGCTCAGGCTAAGGAGCAGAAATGGTATGATTAACTGTATGGGTCTTTAAGGTATGTGTGTGTTGTAGTAGATGCCTCTTCAGGGCATGAATGTTGCCTCCATTCAAAGTAGCCCACACTGTGTGAAGTAAACTGCGACCTTAATCGCGCAAGTAAAACTTAAAACATTTTTGCTGCTTCTGGTGGAAGATAGCTCTCTTTTTGGAGGAACTAACCCCCTCTGGCGCCCAAACTGTAGCTGGCAGAGAGTTCCTGAACTGTCCGTGTCCAGTCTGCAGCTTTTTGCTCCGCTTTCGTCTGCTATCTAGGTATGATGCAATTCAGAGTTCTTTTGAGAGCCGGTGCAGAAGCACTAATATAGCGAAATTATGGGCAGTTTAACAATACCAACAGAAACGATGTATTCTTATTTTGTTTGTTATTTTCTCGTATTTCTGTGTGTCTAATGTTTCTTTTATGTCTGATTTAAAAAATAAACGACAAAACATTTGTATTGATGGACTGACCGCTGAATATCAGTATTTCAGATTGTTTTTGAACACACCACCATGTGACGCACCGTTGCCATGGAAAAGGGACTCTGCTTAGCGCAGCCAAAGCTCAAAACAGCAGCTAAGAGCTAGCTACCTTGGTCTAGCATTTGTGTAGCTTAACAATGGCGACACAGGAAAACATCGTAGAAAAACACATGAGTATAAACATAACGGTCTCCCGTGGAAATAATCTGGTAAGGGGATTTAATGAGTTTTCTCTTTAATACTGTAAAGTAATAGATTTTTCTATGTAAGGGGCCTTGAGATGATTTTTGTTGTGATATGGCGTTGTTACAAATAAATTTAATTGAATTAAGCACAATGAACGTTAAGTATTTAGTGTAACAGTTAAGATAACTAAGTTAAGAAAAGTGTTTATCTGACTACACATACAGTACTAATAGTAAGGTTAACTAATCAACTTTATTGGCCAGATGTGCTGAACACATCTGTAGTACCGTGGCTCTCAAAGTGCATGTACAATGTTCTTCTGTAAGGCAACAAGTAAACAAGATAAGACTGAGAGAACAAAAAAAAGAAAAGAATGTGAATTAGGCAAATAAAAATAAAGCACTTATAAATATAGAAATACATATAATGATATATGTATATATAGTTTAGACTGAATTTTCAGATAGATATATATATGAAGGTATATTTACAAGGTATTCCACTGAGGGCTGTTGTTCTCTTATACTATCCTGGGTTAAGTGTTCATCAGGGTCATGCCACGATGGAAGAAATTGTCCTCGTGTCTGGTTGTTTTGACATACAGTGACCTGCAGCACCATCCAGGGGGGAGGAGTTCAAACAGTTTGTGTCCAGGGTGTGAGGGGTCTGCAGAAATCTCTGCCCTCCTTTTGAGCCGTGGGGTGTGCAGGTCCTCCATGGAGAGCAGGCTGGCACCAGTGATTCTTTCTGCAGTCATGACTGTCCACTGGAGTCTCTTCCTGTCCTAATTTGTTGTTGAACCAAACCAGACAGTGATGGATGAGTAGAGAACAGACTCCATCATTCCTCTGTAGAACTGTAAATAAATAAAGGGCAGGTTGAACTTCCTGAGCTGACACAGGAAGTACATCATTGGAGATATACTTATACCATGATGCCAATCACATGTTACTCAAACTGCATTGGTTTTTACTAACTTAATATAACTAAAACAGTTTTGTATGGTTTTCTGTAATTTAATTAATAACAACTGGAAATGAAATGACTAGTGTCAGGATCATCATTAGAACACTAGCTGAGGCTGAGGATGACAGACCTAATGTTGCATATTGTGTTTCTCCTTTTTTCAGCAAGGAAAACAGGTCAACAACTTCCGGAGTTTTCTGCAGGTTGAAGTGGATAGAGTGGTGCTGGGAACCTCTGACAAGAAACCGTTTGACCCTGAGGAGCAGTGTGTTGTCTATGACTTTACCTGCAGTTTCCACTGCTCCAGTGACACTCAGGCACTCAGTGACATTGCTCATAAACCCATCATATGTAAGCTGAGTTTGAAAATGTACTGTCTCCTGATATCTGACAGAACTAATAGTTGAGCTAAATGAGGTCTGACATTGAAGTTTCTAAATATTTAGTTTCACTCTGTCTCTTCTTTCACCATTTGTCCATTCTCGTTGTTGCTTTGACTTCCTCCAAATTTCCAGCATCACCTTAAATGACACTTAAATGACACTAGTTATGTGTAACATTTGGGTGTCAGGACTCAAAAACCAGACCACAGGAAACCAAGTTCAAACAAGAGTTTGTTATAATAACAGTCTCCACAAAGAAAGAGCCAGAAGCAATGTTTAGTGATAACAGGCAAATAATGAAGTTAGAGTAATTTAAACCCAATCTCATAAGTAATAGGGAAGACAGATAAGCTATGGTAATGTGGTGGTTAGGAGTATTTCCAAGAAGGTTGTTTTAGTAAGCAGTGAGCAGTTGATTACATTAGACCAAAACATGGTCAGAATAAAGAGCATAGGTTGTAATCAGTAAGGCAAAAGTTACTACAACACCAGGTAAGGAGAAAGACTAAAGGTATCAGTTCCAAAAGAAGCAGGCAAAAATCAGAATCCAAAAAGCAAAACAGGTAACAACAAGGTAGTTACCATAAGTACAAAGTCATGATGAGGAGTTACAGTGAACAATCTGGCAAGGAGTGAATGCTTTTAGTTGACTTATATTGAGGCTGTGATTACTAATGCAGAACATGTTTAAATGATGGTAGGATACTTCCATCAGGGACATCATGGGAGCATGACAGATGATTTAGGCTTGCTGTAGAATTTATGATGCAGACATAAAGTTTTTTTTAATGTAGACAATGTTTATGCTCATCTGTAACTTGTTTGCATGTTCACATTTGGACTAGTTATAATGTTTTTCCTGAAAGTCATGCCAAACAAGCTTCAACACGCTGACTTGTGCTGAGATGTAGTTTAGTTTCTTAACATTTATTCCAGCAGGAGACTTAACAGTTATAGAGCTAACAGATAACCAAATGGAAGTAGAAGCCAGTTACAAGAAAACCCAAACTGAAAACCCTTATTGTCAGTTAATGTTACACTGGTCCTAATTATTTTTGTTTATTGTTGTTATTACATTTCAGAAGACCTAGTTTAACTGTAAATAGCCTGAAATTCTCCCTGTAATAAATACACATCAATCTATATAGTAAAATCACAAGATATACTTTGCTGCAGTTGTGTTGTAGGTTGATGGCAATATCAGTGATAGTATAATTGGTAGGTTTGTCAGCTATCCAAGACTTATTCTGTGCAGGTATCTTGCCTTAATACAGCAGGTCCAGTCCCCATGAATCACTGCCAGTAGTGGAGCTACTATCACAGCTCTGTTTAATTTGAATGGGTTTGTTGTGGTCAGTGATGGTGACAGAGGTCCTGTCTGAGGAGAAGAGAGCTGAGGAGAAGACAACAGTGCTAGGCCAAGCTGTGGTCGACCTGCTGCCACTGCTGCAAGGTACAGCTGTACCTGTTTTTATATTTTAGCTGCTTTCTGTGGAGGCCAGAACAGTAGAAACTGACTTCAAAGAGCTGCCATTAGAGGATAGGGCTTTTATTGTTGGAATGATTCTCTCTTCTGTCCTCAGGTCAGTGCAGCTTCTCATTAAAAGTCCCACTGAATCCACTGACCAGCTCCTTAGCAAAAGAGTCCTCCCATGGCTTCAACCTCAAGGTTGGTTAATAATTTATAACTCTACAGTAATGTCTCTCAGTTATTGTTAGGAGCAGGATAGGATCATAGCTGCAATATATAGCAGTTTACACAAATTGATAAGTGCAACTTACAGTTTATAGCAGAGGGTACAAAAGATGTGTGTTTCTTTACATTTCCATCTGTATGCTGACAAAAGGTCATTGTACATGCTGCCATTAACTTTTAACAGCTTTATACTGTTCTTAATTATGAAGTCAAGTTAAAATGACTTGTCAAAGGATTTGTAGTTAACTGTTCTTAATTCAAATATACAGTCATTAAATTAATAACGGTATTTACAGATAACATATTTAAATACTTTATGAATAAAACATGAATCTGCCTGAACCTATGTCTCACTTTAGCAGCCGACTCTGGATGTGTGTGTCAGTGTGTTGGATCCAGTGCTGTCTGAGTCTGAACGCTCATCCTGCAGCCTACTGAAGGTATCTGTGGAGACAGCCTTCTCAGTTCCTGAGTCATGGATGCTGCCATCTGGCCCTGCCCCCTCTCCCTGCTCATATACTGCTGCCCTGGAAGTCCCACTTACTGCAGAGGTGAGTGTTAAGCCTGATTTGTTCTGTGTGGAGTCTACATTGTAGGTAAGGCGTAGGGACAGGGTAGCCGCATACTTTACACTGTAGCCTGATGTGCACCTCTCCATAAATGTAACTACAGGTCACGGTGGAATTGCATTTCCTCATCCATGTCTCTCTGCGGCCGAAGAAGCACAGAAAATTCACCCTTTTTCTGCCTTAAATGAGTTCAATTGTCATACAAACATCTCCTCCAACATCTTCTCTCTTTTCTGCATTGCAGTAATTTTAGTAAAAGTAACTGCTGTTCAGCATCTATTAGCCAACATGACCCACTCAGTTTCAGTCACCAAAAAAATAAGCTGCGAAGAAACTCAACACATTTGAGAGGTAAACCCCAAAGCTAATTAGCATTTTGGTTCTGTAATTGCAAAGCCACACAGACACATCAGCACACAAGTATAAATCAGGGTCCCCATGCATCCTGGAAAACCTTGGAATTTTGAGCCAGTTTTCCAGTCATGGAAAAGCCATGGAAATTGAGATAAATTGTACGGCGTCCTGAAAAAACACTACATCATCCTGGAAAATAATTTTCACATTTTTGGACGGTGGCCACATCAACCTGCCCAGTGTTTGATTTATTTGTTGTTGTGTTGCTTTTCTTTTCTTTTGTCTCTCCTCTATCCACTCACCTCAACCGGTCGAGGCAGAAGGCCGCCCACCAAGAGCCAGGGTCTTTCGGCGGTTTTTTCCATTAAAGGGGGTTTTTCCTCCCTAGTGTCACCATGTGCTTGTTCAAGGGGGATTTGTTGGGTTTTTCCCCTATAGTGTTCTGAGATGACTTTTGTTATGATTTGGTGCTATATAAAAAATTTTGAATAAAATTGAATTGTATAGATTTAGTAAGATTTCTTCCAGCTGTGTCAGATACAAATTTAATCAACTGTTACTGTAGGTAAATAACTATCGAATGGAACTTGATATTTGGCAGATATCCAATAATTGCGCTTCAACTGAGGCCAGTACAGGAAGGACTACTGATAGATTTATATACATTATAGGCTCGCACCTAATCCCTTAAGGTCAAGGCCATCAGCTCTTTAAAATAGGCAGTAGCCTATCCAATTTGGATCCACATGTGCTCACACCTGAGCATGTTTTGTGTAAAAGATGAAGAAGCAGGCTGTTTCGCCATCTGTTCTGTATTTCTATGATAGGACTTTTAACTCGGGCTGTACTATTGCTCTGATTCCCAGAAAGATCAGGTGCTGGTGTTTTGTGAAGGGCAGCTAAAGCCAGGGGGACAGAGGGAGGAAAACAGCAGACAAAAGAAGAGACCCCATCAGTCACTACTGGTCCCAGAGAACCACTTTCTGCCAGGAGCCTTTTTCCAGGCAGAGCCCATCGAACAGGAGGATGGCGAACTGACTGGCTTGGAGGTTAATATTAATGCATCCTGCACCTGCTGCTAATTGTTAACTGTGTTCGCAGGAATGTCTTTGTGCACTGTTAGATATTGCTAGATTTAAAGTAAATTAGACACACAGGCTTAGCTAGTGACTATTTATTAGAGAATTTAAAATGCCTTAAAAACCTTAAAAGTAAGAAAAGTAAATTGCCCTTAGATGCATATCTAATGCTGGAGACGATTATATTAATTAACTCAGCATGCAGGCAGGCTCAGGTAAAAAGTCAATTACAGTACTGGAGAATCTACAGTAAATGTTTCTACAGGACCGGGAGTTTCGTAATGAAGCAGAAACCACTAAGAAAAGGGTGAGCTGGGACACAGAGATGTGCTGCCTACTGGATAGAGGAGGAACTACCAGGTCAGCTACACACACAAGTCACCCCTCCTCCAATTCTACCATCATGCTACCTGTTGGAAATCACTTTTAAGAGAATGTTCTTGAAAGCAAAAGTTTGTCATTAGTTTTTTGTGGCTATATCTTGAATTTTAAGAATTGTTAACCATAAATAACCACATTTCAGGATTATTGCAGAGCGTGAACTTGACAACTTTGTTCCCTTGTTCAATGCATTTCAGGCCAAATGGAAAGGAAATCAGGAAGTCATGGAAAAGTTATTTGGTGTTTATACTGATTTTACCTCAGGTCCATGCAGTGAACCTGGGAATCAATGATATATGTAACCAAAGTTAACAGGTATAATGACAAGAATACAAGTCAAATCCTTGTGAAGAAAACTGCTCAAATAATGGCTTAGGAAATAGTAATGATTTATGGCAAAATAAAAACAAGAAAATTAAAAAAAAAAAAAAAAAAAACAAATGAAGGAGAACATCAGAATATATGTGAGTGAATTTTAGCTTTGAAAATGACATGATTAAAAAAACAGGAAGAAAGATATACATGTAGAAAAAGATGTGAAAAACATGTTGGCTATAATTTCAGGCTGCAGCAGATGATCAGTGAGAGCAGACTGTGGCCAGTGGAGATTATGAGGTTGTTGACTCCATTTGAAAAGGCAATAGAAACCAAGCAGGTGAGACAGGTACTGAACTGAACTGTACTGAGACAGGTACTGAACTGAACTGTACTGACTGTGCACTGTTATCACTGTAACCTGAACCACAAGTAAGAAATGAGGGACGACATCCATAATTATTTCAGACAAAATTGCATTTCACTTTATTCAGACCTAATGTAATGCTTTAGGGGTCTATACTGGGTAGGTTGAATGAAACCTTTTGAGAACACTTGACTATGTTTAGTGGAAACCTGAAGCAAAACTCAATGATAGACCAACAAATTCATCCAGTCAGTGTGGTAGAAAAGGTCCATCCATGTTTACTAAAAGACAATGTGCGTGTGTGTGTGTGTGTAGCTAACCGAGGGTAACCCAGAGATCCCCTTCCATGGGGTGGCGTTCGTGGACATGGGGCAGCTGCTGTATCCTGGAGTCAGTCGCATTCGAGGAGCATACAGCATTCAGCCCTTCTCTGAAGCTGAGTTGCTGAACAAAGTAACCCAAAAATACACATACAGTATGATTCATTTGCTATCATTTTTATTATACTTAGTTCTTTATCTGGGTCTGTATGAACTGAATCATGCTTGTACAATGTTTACCAGGAATGACTTATACACAGATGGAACTCCACCTGCTTTTGAAAGAAACACTTTATGGAAATATGTGTTTTAACCAGAGTATGTTGAAAATGATCAGTATCAGTTTCATCTCTGTGTGTCCAGCACAGTGATAGGTCATACAGTAGGATAACCTACAGTATATGCTGCAAAGCCATGTTGTGGCATGTGTAATACATAAATAAAAACATTACTTAAAATACCCTACTAAATAATCCTAGTAATGATCCCATGGTGTGTGTACTGTTAAGCCTCTGTTAAAGTGAGTTTATCTTGTTATCTGTCTTGTACCTAAAGGCCAACCGGAGTGTCAGTGTGTTAAAGGAGTATGTCAAGGATGCAGCCATTCAGGCAAAAGCTCGTGCCAGCTCAGCTACAGGCTCTCCCAAGGGAAAGTCAGGGAGGAACATGGATGCCAGGATTTCAAAGGAGTTGACAAAAAAGGTCAGAAGGATCCTTATGGTCAAAACTAGGACAAGAGATTAATTTTTACATAACAGAATTTCCAGGGGCTTGGATGTCACCACATCATCATACAAGATTTAAACTGCAAAACAAGTCCTTAAAGTGTTTCAGAGTTTCCCAACTTGAGGCAAATTCAGTGGTTCTTTGTTTCTACACACAAATTATGTCATCAGGATTTTTGTGGCAGTAAAAACAGCTGTTTTTGCTTTTAGTGTTTTACTTTCACCAAACTGTAACGTTGGAAGTCTTTAAATTTGACATCCAGGTTGTGTTTGTAAGGTTAGACTAATGTAATCCATTCTCCTCATGTAAACAACCTGGAAATCAGATCAGGACATCTGCAGCTGACAGTGGGACCGATGGTCAGAACCAAACTGAGCTGCGTGTCAATATAGAGGGAAATGTAAGTTGCCAAAAAATAGTAACACAACTCCATATATTAGTAGTGCATTAGCAAACACATTAGCCATCATGTACTCGAAAATGTGGCTGTAGTAATAGTTTAATACAGATTCAGTAAGAACAGAGGATTATTAACTTAAAGTCCTTTTGTACTTCCTTAATATTGTAACACACTGTAAACCTACTGTACATCCAGGCTTGCTGAAAGAATTGTAACACCAAATTCCTTTTAATGACAGATGTATTTGGAGGCCAGAACTTACATTATAATTGAGATAGCCTTGGAGAAACCATTGGTACCCAAAACATCTCCAGAGGAGCTGGCGCAAAGGTAATATGTTACATAACTTATCTGAGTGCTATGTGGTCACTGAGCTTAACGTAACTCTATTGGTTACACTCTCGCTAGACTGTGTCCCTGAGCTATCAAAACCTGTGAGCTATCAGATTATTTTCACTTCTGGAGTCAACTGGTCATTATTCACACATGAACTCTTACTCATTTAAATGCACTGATAGTGACAGATTCACACCCAGTTGAACTCTGGTCTGTTACATTGTCCCTCGGGTTTCTGACTGACTATGGAGCACAAATCAGTGAGAATGTGTTGAGATGTGTCTCTGTTTCCTGCAGGGTGAAGGCACTGATCCCACCCAGACCTCCACTTCCAGCAGGTCCTAGCAGAGCAGAAAGAGTAAATTACAGACACATTTATATATGCACACACACACACACACACAAAATGAATCACACATTAGTGGAGAGTTACAATCTGAATTCACTTTATTGGTGTGTCTTCCTGCAGGCAGTGATGGACTTCCACAGGCAGGTAGGCAATGTGGTGTCACATGTTTCAGACCAGTATAAGGAGTTGTTTGGAGCAAGCAGTCGCACGCACTTGGAAGACTGCAGCCAGGAGCAAATGATGGTTCAACTGATGGCAATGCTCAATGTCTCTGGGAGATACTTTACCTTCAAGGAACAGATGAAGGTCAGAACAAATGCACACATCCCTGGTAGAATGATGACATTTACAGCTAGTTTTTTTTTTTGCGGTAGATCTGTAGCCCATTTTATTTTTTCCTGCAATAAAGAATCTACTATTACTAGTTAATCACATAAGTGTGCATATGTGTGTGTTTCTCATGTGTAGCCTGCGGTGGTGAGGATTGTACGTGACAAGCTGCAGCGAACAGAGCCTATCAGTGACCCTCAGGAGCTACAGGCTTTCGTCAGCAAACTCTATGTCTACCTGGTGGACGAAATGCATGTAGCACTCAACAAGGTAACACACACATATATAATTTATACAGTATACATTACATACATACTGTATATGCCTATTACTTTTTATCCTCCCCTCCACAGATTTATTCAGAGGACATCGATGACGACTCACCTGATGAGATCCATTTGAATTCTTCTCAGCTCAGACATTTTGCCAAGGAAGCTCAGCTTACTGGGGATTATCAGCAGGCTGCTCAGTACTGTCAAGAGGTACATTCTCACCATTCCAAATATCTCTGCACTTCCTATAAAAAAAATGAGAAAATAACAGCTGAAAAACACGTTATAGTCATATGTATTTTCAGAAAAAAGGATTTGAATAAATAAAGCAGAGCAGGATTGACAGATTTTTTTTTCTGACCAAATTTAAATGTATGCCAAGAACAGATCTTTGCTGTTGTCACAAATATGCTTTAATGTACTCACTATCCTTGGAGTGTTTTGTGTGTGTGTGTGTGTGTATTGGAGCATCCAGTCAGTGTATTTATGTTTCTGCAGCTAGTGGTGAGGCACCCCAGTGAACCTTCCCACATGTTTGAGTGCGGAAGCCTTTACATGCTGACTGGAGACTACATGAAGGCTAAAGAGTGTTTCCATGCTGCTGTGTCCATCCAACAGGCACATCAACCCAGGTCAGAAATGCGCCAGTTACAATAAAAGCATAAATAGCTAGAGAATATTAAACTTTACTACACGCAAATCACTGAGCTCAACACAGAAATCCAGAGTAAATACTGTATGTTCTGATTATTTTACCATTGTTGACAATAAAATGGTTGTCAATTGTAAATTGACACTGTGTAAAGACACCACAAACAATATCTTTCCACTTGTTATTGTGTACATTAGAAAATGTGTAACACTGTAACTATGCACCACAGGCGATACAAAAGAAAGAGGTAGAATCAGACATCTAATGTATCACTGGACAGTGACTCAATGGCTGTTTAAACAGACAGCCAAAGGGCTAAAGAGTGAGCTCCTCTTATTCCTTTCAGCCTGATGATGTGCGGGGTCTTGGCAGTGATGTTTGAACATTACAAGGAAGCCCAGACCTTTCTGGAGCGAGCCACCAACATAGACCCACATAGTGTTGTGGCCTGGACGCTGCTGGGTGAGATAAAAGCCTGTATTTCTACACAAAGCTGTTTAACCTGTGAGCCTGCTGCTAATACAGAACACTACCAACACTCTTTTGTCAAATATCAGGTTACCAGGCAGTCAGTGTTGTTCATCCCCAATATGATGGGGGCTCCTGTGAAGATCAAGCTAAACAAGACTCTTAGAATGATTTAGTCTGTGTGTGTTTTTTATTAGTTTAATTGTTGGATCAGTTCTTTCTTTTATACTTGAAAAGCATTCATATTAACCTTTACAAACTCTGACCTTGAATAACCCTAAACAGTAAAGTAGAAGAAATGCATGACGGAAAATGTGCTGAGTAAATTTATGTCATGTTTCTCATCTGCTACCTAGGTTTGGTCCATGAACGCAAGAATGAACACATCCTGGCTGAGTCAGCTTGTCTGGAGGCCAAACGGCAGCTGAGGGCAAAAGAAGCAAAGAATGAAATTCAGAAGGAAGAGGAGAAGACAGACAAGCAGGAGGAAGGGAAGACGGCCACGCCTGCACATCAGGGATCCACTGCTAATCAAAGTAAGGTGCAGCAAGAAGAAGCACACTCAGAGAAGAAGAACAGAGCACTGCCTCTTCATCTAAATGTACAGTAATAATGTTTCAGTTTTTATTTTATTTATACTACACTCACAGTATATCTTGACTGTGTTGTTTCTCACTGGTTGACCTAAATCTCAAATAACTTTTAGTGTCAGCTTTGCTGATATTGTGTAAGACTAGCAGCTTGTTTGTATGTTCAAATATTCCTTCAATGTCTGATGTAGCCTGTTGCAAGAGCAGACATAGGAGCAACAGAAAGCTGCTAGTAGTAATTTATCCCCTCTTAGCAATTAGAGCATATTATCTTTGTAATTACTATTATTATCACAGCTGAAAAGTACAGCATCTGTAAAACGTGGTGTTCATGGCACTGCACATTATTCCCTTATTATGTTAAATTTCTTATTAAAACTCTGAAAGTGCAATTATGTCAGCTGGTGAAGAGTCATCAAATCTGGTATCAAAGACTCCCTCATATCAAATGATGAGATTCGGCCTCCTTTCTTGTAATTTCATCTACCAGGACAGAAAACCTACAATGCAGTTTAAAAGAAATTTTGATATAAAACATAGTCCCATGTGCAGTAAAAAGTTGATGTTGCATTCTGTTGGCAAGACCGTCTTGAAAATAAGGCTTGTCTCATCTTTTCTGTTTATCACACACTTAGTGAATCTCTCAGTGCACTGAAGTAAAGTTCATGTGGCAGTGAATATGGGTCTCAGGAGCAGCTGGTGTTACCTGACAATATTGCTGCATTTTTTTCCACCAGACTCGGAGTTTGTTGACCAGGTCTCAGAGATGCACAAAGAGCCTTCAGCACAGAGCATTGGGTCCAGATCAGCTCCAACTAAACTCTCCTCCACCATTTACACAGAGACAGTCCAGTTCCTGCTGCAGAACAATGCCCTGCAGGTACAAATAAACATAGCAGCTCATCAATATTTAGCTGTACATTGTAGGACGACAATACAAATTACATGGAAAACCCATCTATGGTGTAAATTTATTTTTGGAAAGGAAAAACTATAAACAGACATGGACATTATGAAAATTGATCATGTGAATTCGGCTGGCAGTTCAGCAGCTGTTCAAATCTCACATCAGAATATTTTCGAAAACACCAACAAAGAGAATTTATACAAGTTTATTTTTGTGACATTCTGAAATGAACTGAAACTAGCATCTATGTAGTATTTGTACTGACAGCAGTAGTTGAGCTTCTAACAAAAGTAAAACATAAAACTGCCCATTATCAACTTAACACTGTTTTCTTGTTGTCAGATGGCAGAGCATGCTCTGTCCCAGGAGCTGCTGTGTTCAGATGACGGTCACAGTGTCTCCTACCTCGTTCATCTGGCCCAGTTGCAGATGCTCAAAGCAGACTACTCCAGTGCTGCTGTCAACCTCAAGCAGGCACTGATTCACAAAGATCAGGTACTCACACACTGACTGTTGCACTGCTTCAATGCTGGCCTATTAGGTTGTTAGTCTACAGTCTGTAATTGAACATGTTTAAACTGCAGCAGAGATGCACATCTAGTTTTGGATTTATGAGCTTCTTTCATGTCACTGTTGTCTTATGCTGAAAATGTTTACAGTCCAGACTCCAAGTATTTGGACATATCAGCTTTGATTTGAATAGGTTTATATCAATATAGAAATAATATAGAAGATATAACACTGTCATCACATAGAGCCCAGAGTTTAGGCATTCCAGAGTAACTGAACATTTGTCTATTATATTTTTTGGGGGAGCTGTGTATCATTTTGATGTTATTCCATACAGAAAAGAGCTCACACATGCTTCAGAGCTGACAGAGAGTTGACAGTTGCCATTTAGATTGAGGTGGTGTTGTCAGTAAGTATAAGTGAAGAGGTGACGAAGATAAGAATGAGGCTAAAAAAAACAACAATGCAATGATCTATCAAAGGTATAACTGTTTGGTGCATCCTAAAAAAGCAGGTCTGCTGAAAATAACAAATGAGCTGGACCAAGGAGCACAAGTCTTGTGGATGACCTCAAAATCATTTGCATGGTGAAGAAACAGTGATTTACAGTATAACTGCACAGCAGGTTTCCTTGTCAGTCTGGACTGTAAATGTTACAGTTACCATTGTAATAGATAATTTGCTACATTGTTTTTTGCCTTTAACTCCTTTATCAGTATTTTTGGGAAGATTCCTTGTGTTGCCTTGACACTCCCTTAGAAAGGTGAGGATGGTGTAGTTAGTCCAGGAAGTATTTGGGAACCCCAAATGTACTGTAAACTTGCACTGTAAAGTTTCCTTTTAATGCCTCAGTGTTCCACAAGAAAAACCTAGTCATTTGGTGTTAATATTGTCACATCTTCCTTCATAACAAATCATTTTGTCCAATAGTTTACTTTGTATTAATTTATAATATTAATGTGATGTGATAAATTTAGGACCAACAGGGCTGATTGAACTCTAGTACCATCTCCTCTGAACATTAACCTGAGAAGCATCATCCATCCTGTCAGCAGGATGCAGATGTGTGGGCTTTGAATGGTCACTGTCACTACCTGCGAGGTGAGCCCCATGTTGCCCAGCACAGCTACAAGCAGAGCCTTTGCCTTCCTCAGCAGCCATCAGACTCTCACCTTGTCCTCCTACGCCTGGGATCCATTTATCTCCAACAGGAAAAGGTCACACATTGAGACAAGCTTCAATACTGTCTGATCACTCATGCACTTTACTTATTTGTGTTTCTTTTTTTAAGTTTGAGCAAGCCAAAGTTGTCTACCTACAGGCCTGTGAGCAGTCTCCATCCTGCCTGACCTGGCTAGGCCTGGGCATCGCCTGTTACCGGGTAAAACGAATTGATGGAAACCTTAAAATATATTTAAGTTAAGCTTGATTTATCGGTTAAGCAACACGGGGGGTGCATATATGTTAAAATGTGGTTTTAGGAGCAGTCAACATTGGAGATAACCCTTATGTCAGTGATCACACTCAGGTTTTATCTACTGTCCTACTGTGAATGTTTATGTACTTTATAAAAAAGTGAGCCTTGGATATGTTTGCATGTCTGCTTGTGTAGCTGGAGGAGCTGTGTGTAGCCGAGGATGCGTTCATTCAGGCAAACCGTTTGAACACCCAGAATGCAGAGGTGTGGGCTTACTTGTCTCTGATCTCCTTGAGGGTGAGTGTTGATGACCTGTTGAAAACACACTAGCTCTGTCTACATTTCATGAGAAGTGTAGCTTTTGTATACCCAAACAAGCGGGTACAGCTGATGTATCCTTTGGGTTAGTGTTAGATTTCAAGGATCAAGTGTAGATTCTGGGGGCAACTGTGGGTCAGGAAGTACAGTGGGTCATCCCCTAAGCGTTGGGTTGGTGGTTCAATCCTCGGCTTCTCTAGTCCACATATTGAAATGTCCTCTAACAAGACACTGAAACCCTAATTGCTTTTGATGATATCACTGGTGTGTGAATGGGAAATCGTGTAAAGTGCTTTGAGTATGCTTCGATGCATAGAAAATAACAATATGTGTTATGTTGCTTAACTGGACCCTAGTTCTACCCTAACCAATTATCTCTGCCTATTCCTGAGTCTTGGAAACTAATATCTACCATATCTTTCATTTTCTCACCAATCACATGACAATCACTTGTCATATTCCTCAATGAGCAAAAGTAAGTTTTGCTTAACCCTCAGGCCTAACAAAAAATACACCTGTGTGGCCTGTGTACCTTCAGAACAAAGATTCACAGTTCATTGAACTAACCATGTGGACATGAACTAACCATGTGATAAATCCTTTGTTTACAGACTGGAAAACCAAAGGAAGCAGAACACTTTTATAAATGTGCAGTAAGGGTGAGTTAGGCTGGTGTTTTTATCATTGATGGTGATTTTAAAGTAGGACTGAGACCAGTTATTGAGTTGTTGTTAATAGCTCAAATTCAATAATGCTGTTTTACTGTATTATAAAATGTGTTTTTAGAAAACATATAAACATATAAAACACTTACTTTGTTTCTATATAAGACATGAAACATGAGTCAGTAAAACTTGAGAATTTTGCCATAGCATTTCATTATTTTTTGAACTGCAGAGAAAATGGTTTCGTAGAGATTTCTTTGGGTACATCCCAAATCTCTTATGTGCACCAACATTTCCCTCACTTGCATCTTTTTTTTGCGTCATGGTCCCACCTATGTAAAATGTGAGTAAAAGGTGCAAGGGAAAAATGTGAAGAGAGAGGAATCAAGGAAGCATTTTTTAGAGACATAAGGCATCCTTTCCTTAGATTCTTCATCTGAAGTGTCCAATTGTCATTTGATCTCTGATAAAGGGGTGTGTCGGTCTATAAAAAACTTTCGCAAAGGATTCTACCATTCATCCTCACTCCTGGTTCCTCCAGCAGCCTCCTCATTCGTTGACCCTTAGAGAAGATTTAAGAGTCTCAGGGTGTGCTTGCTTAAGGAGCGAGGAACAATCATATAAGATACTTGAGATGCAGCCCCTTTCTTTTGTTTTGTTGTGACACAAATCAAGACCTCTGTATTTATCATAAATGTTGTCATAATGTACTAATTTAAGTACATTTGTCCTTGCTATACAGTTTAACCTGCAGAAGGACTCACTCCTCAAAGAGTTAAATGAGCTGAAAGATCATCTCCGCTTCAGTCATCTGGCTTCATGCTTTGCAAGATGCTCTCAAGCAGGAGTCTAAATAATACGACCAAGTACATTACAGTGCTGTGCATATTTACACACTCTAGAGACAGCAGTACGTTTCTGTGTTTAGATAAGATGAAAACAACAAATCAAATGCATGTGGTTGGCATTAAGAGAATCTATTAACATGTCATCTTAACGGCCGTATGGAAGACAAACCGCACCTGAAAACCATTTGTCCAAATAAATCTGTTGCTATTTAGCCAGTGTGAATTCTGAAAACATTGTTAAAAACAGAAAAGGTTATGTTGCTTTTAATAAAATGATAGGGAAGATAAAAAATACTATACCCTATTAAAACCAGACTGTTGAGAAAATTGTACAAGAGAGTTTTGAAACAGCCTACAGATTTGTAGTGATGAGTAGAAGTGGGAGATTAAAGTTTTAGACACTTGCTGTCATATTGTTGTCCCATCGGTCACATTTTAACCTAATTTGATCAAATTTGTGAGATGTTATTAAAGTCAAAAAAACACTCAAAGCAACACAGTTGGTCTCAAATGTATATAAAACAACTGTGTTAATGGAGAGCATTAACAACAGAAAAGGAAAAAGGGCATGTGGTGACTAGTAATAAAATATTTTTAAACTATTTTATCTTACTTTTTGTCTCATTTTTACCATCTGAACAGCAAAACAAGTCTGATGAGACATTCTGGCCTCATTGTTCTAAAACACCCTAACAGATTTTGGCACCTCCTCCCTTGTTACATAGAAAATATTTTTGGGATTTCTGTCAAATAGATTTATAATATGTGTTGCAAGAAATGCATTTAGGCTCAAATGTATTTCATATTTTGCATTTTGAAATTTGTGTTGGTTGGCAACTGGAAATACTTTGCAAATACATTTCCTGTACTTTTAATCCACATTCTATTATACTGGCCAGTTTTTTTTTTCCGCTGCATGCAATTTCTAATGTAACCTTTATTGTGATACTTGCTTTCCATATAGACAACTTTCTTACAGTGCCATTTTAAACCAGTTGTTTGCTGTTGCAGTGAGATCACTGTCTGACTCGGGCAAAGGTGTCTCGCAGCCATGGTGAATCCTCATAGAGGCGTGGATCACCCAGATACTCTGAGGTCCGCTTGTAGAAGTAGTAGTATAACACAGAAGCTGTGAACAGGAAATATGTGAGGAGGCTTTATCATACAAAACACTGCAAAAATGTACAGAAAGTATACTATCCTTTTTATGTATTAAAGGGAATCCACCCAATCCATAACTAGTCTAATTTTCAAATGATGGAGGAGTTTGAATAAGAAGTCAGTGGTGTGATACAAATCTGAAACAGTGGATGAAAAACCAGGTGAAGGGCATCATGTTTGCTGAACTTCTCTTGAGCCATTTTAGTCATTTTGTTGTGGAACTTAGAATTTTTATGCCAGTGTCTTGTTTGTTTAATTCACTTACAAGTATCTGGTGCTATTGTTGAGTGGTAATGCAGTGTGTGCTTTTGTACAACCAGTCTCCTTTACCAGGGCAATGATAACATTTGAAAGATAAACGCACAAAAACATGACAAAATTCATTGATGTGAATACATTTCCTAGGGAGTGGCTCCCTGTACAATGATAATAATCAAGTAATCAAGAGATAATATATGATTGTACCTGGATATTGGCTTTAAAACACAGACTGGGAAATGGGAAATCCCTGGTAGCATGTATAAT